TGTATTTTTTTCAAGTTGCCCCACCACAGCTGAGGACTTCTGGAGTATTTGCAATCCTGCTGCACTCCAAGAGAAATCTTGTGGGTCCTGAGAGGCAAAGGGACTGTCCCTTAGTGCAGAGGGAGGACAGCCGCTCTCCCGATCAGCCCTGGTCTCAGCTGCCCTGTGCTGGCAGCTCTTTCAGCTCCAGGACTATTCCTGATACTAGGCAGGATGCCATTGGCCTTCTTGGCCACCTGGGCACACTGCTGGCTCATATTCAGCTGCCTGTCAACCAGTACCCCCAGGTCTTTTTCCACTAATCAGCTTTCCAGCCACTCTTCCCCAAGCCTGTAGCATTGCATGGGGTTGTTGTGACCAAAGTGCAGATGCCAGCAAATGGCTGTGGGCGTGTGTACACAGCTGGCACGTGAGACCCCAGGCATGGGAGCAGGGCTTGCTGGAAACTGAAATGGAGCAGTTCATAGAGATAGGGCAGCACCTGGGGGCTTGTTCTTGGAGGCTGTTGAGAATTCCCTTTGGCCAAATGCAATGGCAGCTGATGTCCAAATGAAGGGTAGATGAACTCATGATGGTCAGGGCAGCTCATAGAGTTATTCACCTGAACAGTTGCAGTCAGGTGCCATATAGAGCTCAGTCTCTCTCTTCTCCTTCCACTGGATTTCCTAGATCTCCACTGACCACATTGCCAGTTGCCTCGTGTTCATCCCCACACAGACTTACAGAATTCAGGGCATCTACTCCATTTCCTGTTCACATCCAGGCCCAGGGAGCTACATGAGATGCCTGGGCTTGCAAGAACAGCAGAGGACCTCCAGGAAAGCAATGCCCATTCAGGGCGGGTGTGTGACAGACACCGCAGATGGCATCTCAGGGAGTGCGATTGGCTGCCTGTGTGCCATTGGCTGTTGCCATCAGTCAGAGGCATCAGTCATCAGATGCCATCAGAGGGGCAAGTTCTGTTTGTCCTCTACCCAATAGTTACAGGCTTTGCGTGAACATAAAGCACATCAGACTGGCGTCTGTACTCATGCCCTTGATGACACAGGCAAGGAACAGATGAATCCCTTTCACAGTGTTCCTGGATATTTCCTCCAGGCACAGCAATGCTTTACACCAAAACTCAGCTGAAACTCAAAGGGGCATTCAAGGGCACCAAGATGAGCTGTTTGTACTTCAGGAACAGCTAAGGAAGAACCAGAAAGACTGTGGGACCACTGCTGAATTTATTAAGAGTAGGTGTAGGTAAATGGAGATTTGCTGCATCCTCTTTGCCTCAGTTACCACCAGCCAGGTCTCCCAGGCCTTTGTGCTCTGAGGCAGAACCCTGGAAGGGAACAACCATCAGTGGATGAGGATCAGGCCAGGGGTTACTGGAGGAAACCACACTCTTACCAGTCTATGGGGCTGGAGGGGCTGCAGCCAAGGGTGCTGAGAGTGTGTTCTTCCCCAGGAGGCACTGGGTCATTATAATTCCAGTAAGAAAGGCACTCAGACTCTGTGAGGTACCTTTAAAGCTGCTGCTCATTAGCACTAACACTATAAGAAGACAATCACACAGAGAATCTCAGGCCCCTTTAGATGATGGGATCCCCAAGCGGTGTAGCACTGAACAGGCCTCTGACCCTACACAGCATGCCATGCTGGCCTCACCCATAGAAGACAGTCTCCTGGTTTGGTCATTCAAGCTACTCTTAGATTTTCTTACAGGAAAAAACTCTTTTCATCATCTCTACAGTCAAAAATAAATGATGTTTCCATGAGACCTCCTTGCTGCCCTGCCAGGTACAGGCAATGAGCCGCTGAGGTTGTCCTGTGGCCAAGGGACCTCTGCAGCACAGCACAGGTGTGAAGGCCAGGCTGTATGTGCAGCGCAGCACAGCTTGCTGTACCATGGTCTTCTGGTCAGGGTCAGTGATCAGGTTTCCCTGTGAGAAGCCTATGCTCTACGCTGGTGCCACAGCTGAGCTGCTATGGCCCGAATGTGCACAGAGGAGGTGGATGGCAGGCAGGAGGATCTGGAGCCCTGTGGCTTGTCACAGGACTGTGAAGCTTTTGGATTAGATGGGATGTGGTGGGACAGCTTGGTCGCATGAGTTCTGGAAAAGAGCCTCTGCTGGAAAGACTGGCAGGGAGGATGAGTATGGGTGATGCCCCCTTTGCTGAGGGGATGCCCCCTATGTTCTTTTCCTGTGGAGGAGGACAACCAGCAGGTAATGTGGATCAACTCAAGGTTACTTGAGCAAACTCAACCCCCATTACAGAGATGGAGATGGGTGTTTTGACCAGATCCCTGAACACAAGTATTGATATGTTATGACCCCTGAGATTCTACCTTTTGGTCCAGAGGAATATCATGGCCCTTGAGGTGTCCTGGAATAGCTCCTGACCCATGTGGTGCTTTAGGCTGTGAGGAGAACCAAAAGACTACTTCTGACTGGAATGATTTCACCTTCAGTGCTGACATACGGGGCAGATGGAGGCACTTCAGACCTTCCAGGCCTTTGGCTGAAGGCTTAGGTCTTCAGAGGTCCAAAATGAAGATAATGCTGTTCTATCAGTGTCCATCACACAAAAATTTGTCCTGCTTCATGCTTTTTCCCAGTTTGGGATCTGTCCCTTGATATTTTTAGGTAAAAAAATAAGCTCCTCACACACGCCCACACATGAACACACACACTTGAAAGACAGAGAGCAGAAATGAATTAGGGGCAATATTGTCTGAGATGCGTTACCATGAAATGATAACAGAGTTAGCAGTGAGAGGAAAAGCACTGTTGTAAAAAAATCATGCCAACATCTAAAAGCTGTTACATTAGAGCTGTCTTGTCAAGAAAGACTGAATGACAATAACAAAATTAAAGAACTTACTTACTTTTGTCATCATCAAGAAATTTTAGAGCATGGGGCTGTCACTGGTTTTAGTGAAAAGATAAATAAGCTCATAATGTGGCTGCGATGTGCCCACCCAACCCCACCACTCACCCACGCCCTTCTCCTGAGGAGTGGGGAGAGAATCGGAATGGCAAAGTGAGAAAAAATCACGGGTCAAGATGAGGGGACTTGAGTAGTTAAAGCAAAAGCTGTAGCCACAAGGAAAGGAAAACAAGGATATTCTTCACCGCTTCCCATTGGCTGGCAGTTCAGTCATTCCCAGGAAAGCAGGGCTCCATCATGAGCAATGGTCCCTTGGGAAGGGTAAGGCCATGCACCTTTCAAGGTCAGACTGAGTTTCGATCTGGACCCTTGCTGAGCTTGGAGGCTGCTGTCCTTGAAGAGCAGCGGGACTGAGCTCTGTCACCATGTCACAGCTCTGTCTCTTCAGGAACAGCTCCAGCTCTTCCCGCCTGTGCCCCTGGCTGAGGGCATTGCTGCACCTTTGGGCTGAAGCCCTGCAGCTGTGGAACCAGGCCAGCTCTGACTTGCCATAAGGAACCTGGTACCAAGCATCCATGACTTCGTGTGGACAAAGGCTTTGCTTCAGAACAGAGATGTGGCATGGACACAAGAGCACTGCATGTCTTTCTAGGCCCAGGTCTAATGACCCAGTGTGAAATTCCTAAATTCACTCAACAGAACACATCGTCCCAGCTTGGAGACATTGGATCATTCCCTCTCACCTTCCTGGTGTCCTGTCTAATGATGGAACAAATAAAGTTATTTTCCATTCCAATTGTCTTCCTAATAATAGCAATGACACTGCAGGAAAGGAGAGTTTCTCCCCAGCTGATGGAGGGGACATCAGGAATGACTTCAGCCTGTGTCACAGCAGGTTCCCCTGGAGCCCCAGGGACACCTGGAGGGAGCCCCGAGGGGGCAGAGCAAGTGCTGCTTTGGGCTGGTCCTCTGCTGCTGAGCTGGGCTGGGCTCCTGGGATGGAGGGAGCTGATGGCAAGTGGGCAGCACTGCAGAGATTCAGCTCTGCCCAGGAGAAGCTCCTCTGCAAAGCACAGGAGGGCTGAGGGCTCTGCTTGAGGGCACTCAGGAGAGATGAAGGAAGTGAAAGAGATATTACAGGCTGTGTAGTGTTGGAGGATGCTTAGAGCTCACTGGGGGAAGAGATCTTCACAAGCTTCTATGTGGTAAGTCTCTGCGTGCAGGATAGTTATGAGTATTGAGGTGCTTAGGGACATGGTTTATTGGTGGACTTGGCAGTGTTATGTTAACGGTTGGACTTGATGATCTTAAAGGTCTTTTCCAACCTAAAAAATTCTATGATTACACAGGGCTCTGGTTCAGAGCAGGGTCCCTGCACCCCAAGCAGCTGTGCACCAGGACAAGAACTCTGCAACCTGCCAGGGTCAGCACTCAGCCTGCCTGCGGAGATTTATGCAACGCTGTCAGCAGAAGCTGTGTTTGGAAGGAGAAACCCTTGTCAGGGCAGGATCCTCCTGCTGCCCACAGGGTGCAGCATGGATCAGGGCTGCTCAGACTTTTACATCACCCAGAGGACATTTGTAGATTGGTCAATTTAAAGAAAGATGTCAAGGTAGGGCATTCCCTGAAAGGGTAGAAACCTGTGCTTTGAGTTTTCTCCTCTTGTGGGCTGGGTGGGCAGTGGGAGACTGGAGTTAATTTCTTTGCTCTGGAGTAGGCAATGAGACCCCAGATCTTGTTAGCACTTGTCTGAGTTGCTCCTTCCCCCCTGCACACACAGAGATGTCCCTGGGCAGTGCCCTGCTGCCAGGAGGGGTCTGCAGGGCAGAGCTGAGCTCACAGCAGGTGGGATGGGCTCTGTGAACATGCAGAGGGAGGAGACGTGGGGACAGAGAAATAGGTCCTGGCCAGGAAATGCTCCAGGCAGCAGAGCCATAGGCAGGAAGGAAGGGAGAACTGCTGCCAGAGGAGGGAGGAGGGATTCAGGCATCTCCCTGCCATCCCCTGCAGTGCAGATGCTTTCCTGATTAGATTTTCCTGCAAACTGATTACTTTTTTTCTCAAAGAAGTCTGCCCTAATTTTTCCCTTCCTTTATTTCCATTTTACAGATTCCCACGCCTAAATGTCCAACATCAGCACCATCACCCAGTTCCTCCTCCTGGCATTTGCAGACACGCGGGAGCTGCAGCTCTTGCACTTCTGGCTCTTCCTGGGCATCTACCTGGCTGCCCTCCTGGGAAATGGCCTCATCATCACTGCCATAGCCTGTGACCACCGCCTCCACACCCCCATGTACTTCTTCCTCCTCAACCTCTCCCTCCTCGACCTGGGCTCTATCTCCACTATTGTCCCCAAATCCATGGCCAATTCCCTCTGGAACAACAGAGCCATCTCTTCCTTTGGATGTGCTGCCCAAGTCTTTTGGTTTGTCTTTTTAGTTTTAGCAGAGTATTCTCTTCTCACTGTCATGGCCTATGACTGCTATGTTGCCATCTGCAAACCCCTGCACTATGGGACCCTCCTGGGCAGCAGAGCTTGTGTCCACATGGCAGCAGCTGCCTGGGGTGGTGGATTTTTAAATTCTCTCTTTCACACTGTCACTACATTTTCCATTCCCCTCTGCAAGGACAATTCTGTGGACCAGTTCTTCTGTGAAATCCCCCAGATCCTCAAGCTCTCATGTTCACACTCCTACCTCAGGGAAGCTGGCCTGGTTGTGGTCAGCAGTTTTCTTTTTTGGGGATGTTTCATTTTCATTGTGCTGTCCTATGTGCAGATCTTCAGGGCCGTACTGAGGATCCCCTCTCAGCAGGGACGGCACAAAGCCTTTTCCACGTGCCTCCCTCACCTGGTCGTGGTCTCCCTCTTTGTCAGCACTGGCACATTTGCCTACCTGAAGCCCCCCTCCATTTCTTCCCCATTCCTGGATCTGGTCATGGCAGTGCTTTACTCCGTTCTGCCTCCAACAGTGAACCCCCTCATCTATAGCATCAGGAATCAGGAGCTCAAGGATGCCCTGAGGAAACTGATCACACGCTTTTCAACAGCCATAGACTGTGTACCTTCCTCCACAAATGACTCCCAGAGTCTGTCATGACAGGGGCGGGCTGTCTTTCTGTTATTATTATTTTTTCACTTGCTTTTTTTTCCTTTTTTCACTTCTGATGATGTTGTCTGCAAAAATCCCCCTCCTTCTTAAGTATCCATCATCTTGTATGACCCAGAAAATGTGTGTAAATAAGGATTTAAGCAAAATAAATGAACCGTCAGCAATTTCTTTCTCTCAGATCCATCCTCAGTGGGGCAGGAATGAATGGGAAATTAAAACACCTTTCTGGCTGTGCCAGCCTGGGGCAGGTTACTCTGTCTCTGGGGCAGCAGGAGCAGCATGGGGAGCCCCAAGGCCTGGGATCTTGTGCTGACCTCAGGAGAGGTGATAGCACGGAGGGGCTGCAGATACCTCAGGGTCTCCAGGAGAGGAGAGCCAGGGACACAAGGTTCCACAGACTTTTTTGGCCTTGTGCCATGCATGGTCTTCACCTCTGGGTCTCACCCCTCTCCAGCCCTGAGGAGCTGCTGTGCCCTTCAGAGGGGCTGGGGCTGTGGGGTGGGTACCCAGAGCTCTGAAGCTCCCTGTAGTGGGCACAGCTGTGGGGTCAGCCTAGGCTGGAGGAGATAGGAAGAGCTTGTAGGGATCTGGGCTGGGCTAGAAAGTGCCTGGGAGAGGAAAACATCAGTGTATAGCTTGTGACCATGAAAGGTGACGACTCACATCAGGGGATCATGATGCAGAGCCAGGCCTTCTGGAAGGTATCGAAGACATGCAGGTTCAAGAGAGAGGAGGAGGTGTGTCTTTGCCCTTGGTGGAATTGACTGGGAAGGTTTCCAAGGGCCTTTGTCCCCCCACAGCCTCTCTCACTGGCCATTTCCAGCACTTGCCATTCACCCCAGGTTTACGGGTGAGTTCTGCTGTGAGGTCATCTCCATCCCCTGCTGGGCTATGGGGCCGTCTGGGGGAATGGAAAGCCCTGCCCAGCCTCTTTCATTGCACAGACCCAGGAAGACACTAGAGCAGGGCTGTCTGCGTGGCCCTGTGTGGGACAAGGCTGGGGCAGGGCTCAGGTGCTGGGGAAGGCTGCAAAAGGAGGGAGGAACTGCAAAAAGGGGGAACTGTGATCTGAAGGTTGTCATTGGGATCCTAACGGGCAGAACTTTTTCCACCCCTCACTGTACCTTTTCCCATGCTGTGCCTGCAGTGTGGGGCTGTGGGATCGTGTGTGGACAGTGGGAATAGGCCAGCACAGGGACAGGGTGCTGACAGGGGCCATGAAGCAGCTGCCAGGAAGTGACAACAAGGACAGGCTACCAAGAGGGAGTCTCTGTACATTGCCTTTGTTGTGGAGGCATGTTTGTAGGAAAGGCAACAATCACCTGGAGATGCTGGTTGCAAGGAAAGGCAAAAGCAAATACAAGAATTTGATTGCTGCATTAGAAACCAAGGTGGAACAAGGCAAATGCAGGGCTGCTGCTGAACGGGGAGAGGGATTTAATAACAGCAGAGATAAGTGGGGCTGAGGGACTCAAGGCCTTCTGTGCCCAAGTGGTTAATGGAATGGCCTGCAGGCCTCTGTGCTCAGGGCAAAGGCTCAAGGAAGAGGAAAGCACATTTTGGCAGGAACCTCAGGAAACCCTACAAGGATGACTTGCAGCTTTGGAGAGGAGCATTGATTATACCAGCAGTCACAAATGCTATGGTTAATATAGGGTCTGCAACTTATATCATGAGGGAAATTGGGGCTGTAACTTTGGGACCATCTGTGCATACGCAGATTAAAGGAAAGCCAGCAAAACCAAAAGGACTTGCATCATGGATGATGAGGAAAAAAACGTGGAATGATCTGGTACAAGCTGGTGTCCCATGATTAGAAATAAATGGGTTTACAAATTCAGAAATGTTTCACCAATGGCAAAAGTTAGCACCTACACAAAAAGGCTGATCGCCCTTGGCCCCAACACCAATGCTGAGACCACCCTCCACCCCCGTCTGCCACCTCAAGGCAAGGCACAACCCGGGAAATCCCAAAACAGAAGAAATGAAGGTTTGGCAGATCCTCCAAAATTGCCACCACTGTAGCCTCTTACCATGAGGGGCACCGACACCCCTCTGTTCCTTTAACTACAGAGTAGCGGTCTGGGGGGATTTTACATGTGTTAGATCTGGTGGGGGCTGGAGCTGAGGTTTCTGTATTGCACAGTAATATAAATAATAAAGAAGCCGCGTCACAGGTCTGTGGACTGGGGAGAAACCTGGCCCCTGCCCTCTGAGCTAAGGTTACCTTAACAATAGGGAATGCCACTCCATTTACCATGCCACTGTTAATTACCCAATTAAAGAATGCATCTTGGTTTTTTGATGTGTTGGCAGGACAACCAGGTGAAACTTTAAGTGGCTGCTTCTGCTCCAGAACTTTGCAAGTGGGATTTGCCAATCGATCTATAACTGTCTCGGGTGGATTCCCAAGGTGGGACCCTGTTGCGCTGCCTGGGCCTACCAAGGTTGGAGGAGGAAATCACTCAAAGCATTCAGGCACTTCAACAAGAGAGAATTGTAAAAGAAACCACATCTGCTTTTAATAATCCTATTTGGGCTGTTGAAAAACAGATGGCACTTGGAGAATGACTGTAGATCATGGAGAATTGAACAAAGTCACCCCCACACTGGCAGTTACGGTTCCTCTTCTAGAAAAAATGAGCAAAAATTTAGAACTTTGGAAGGAGGTGATAGAGCTTACTCATGCTTTCTTTTCGATAGCCATTGCCTGTTATAAAGCACGCGCACGTCATTGCAATATTTGCACACAGCTACATTTGAGGGCTTTATACAGGCCATAGGGGAAGACCAAACAGGGTCAGTAGGCCTTGAGTACCTGGCAGGTTGATGACATGGGTGAGTGCGTGGCGATATGGATTCCTTGCTGTGGATGCAGGGTCAGGACTGGTTTTTGCTAAACCCAACAAAAATATGCTAATCAACATAACCCAGCTGAAGCACCAGAAGAACTCATTCCTCAACACGGACCTCCTCCCCAGATACAAAGTGACCAAGGAACACACTTTAGTTGACAGAATGGCCAAGACTGGGCTCAAGGGCTGGGGATAGACTGGATATTCCACATTGCCTATCAATCCCCAAGCTAATAGCTTGATTGAAAGAATGAATGGGAGGAACAATTAGAGAAGGTAACAAGTGCTAACACTTTACAATGTTGGCATTCCCATCTTACTAAAGCATTGTTTTTGTTAAATATTTGGAATATTCATAATCAAACAGCTTATGATCGTATGACAACACTTCCATAACAAAACATGGTGAGGAGTGATGTTCTTCCAGATGGTCTCTCTCCCACACTATTAACTACAGGGGAGATTGAACTGTTTACACTGATGGATTGTGTGGTGGGACTGTGACTTATTAGTCAAGATGTGAAGATTCATATAATAACCCCTGAGAATGCCGTATTGTTCCATACCCCAACTGCTCCTCTTATTTTACATCTTCTGTTGATAGTGGATTCTTGAGTTCTCGTATTTCAGGTATCTTCGACCAATACCTGTGCATTATCTAGAGGATATAGCATTGGAATGCTGTTATTGGTGTCACAAACTCAGCATTGAACTGAAGTTCAGTCTGAAAAGGGCAAGCCCTAGCCCTGCCAGCTCTGTGGGCAATTGCCCCACATCATGTTATCAAACCCAGAGTAATATTGGCTGAAGGAGCTGGAGCAAGGGCATACATATTGCTGGAAGGAGATGAGACTCCCGTTTTCCTCCCCTATTCCAGGTTGGCTCATCGTGCTTTGTAGTCTTTGTGCTACGAGCACATGCCCTGGATATGTTTTGGCAAGACTGACATGTGAATACTTAGATTTGATTGGCCTTTGCTGTAACGGACTCATCTGCATTTTGTACTGAGGGAGGATTAACAGCTGCAGACCTCCTGACAATGTGTTCCAGTGGCATGTCAACCCCAGGAGCTGTGTTACAGAATTGTGCTATGCTAAGTGATTTTGATATTCATCTTTCTCATTCCAATTTTTTCTGAGTCAGCAGCGGCTGTACACCAATGAGCATTAACAAATTGCTTCATGGTAGACCATCTCCTCCATCGACACCACAAACACTGCTTCAGTTTTGAAGGCATGTGATGGTTCAGCATAACAGATGAATCAGCCAGCGTAGAGGATGAGAAGTCACCATCTCCAGGACTTAAAGCATCACATGAACCAATCTCCTGGTGGTGCCTGGCTGGCTGAGTGGTTTAATTCCCTGACAGGAGGAGTGGGACACCTGATTCAAAGCATCGATTTAGGGATATGTTTATTCCTTTTCCTAGATGTGTCTGTTGCGTGCCCCTGTAAATTATCCTGTGCTACACCCTGCAGGCCCAAATGGACACCTCCAGCTTTGCCAGACCCAGCAAAAGTGGTCTCTTGAGCGAGGGTGTGGAATGTGGGAAAATAACAGAAAATTGTTTAAGAGGATTGTAAACATGCTCATGTGACTTGCAGCTGGGGTGTAGAAAACCACATATCTCATACTAAGTGTTGTTTAGTCTTGCATGCTTTACCAGTGGAACATCTGTGTTTAGATAACACAGACCTGTGATAGACTCCTATAGGCACCGTGTCCAATGTGCTTGAGATTCCTGCCCTGCTGTAGGAAAGATCGAAGGACAGTGGTAACCTACGCCTGCGTGAATCCCTGATAAACAGGCAAAACAGGCAGCTTTGGTGATCCTCTAGCATGGACCGATCTCCGTGGTGCCTGTGTCCCCAGCTGTGTGCTTCTGCCTGGGTGCCTCTTTGGTGATCCCCTGATGGGGAGGTAATGAAAATAAATTTGCTCTTTGTGTTTCCTCCATTGCTTTGTGGTTGTGCCTGTGTCCTGCCTGTGTCAGCTCACACAGTGCCCCGTCCCCCTTTGGTTCCTCCTTCTTGACACAGCTTCCACCAGGGTCCTGGAACCTACCCAGCCCTCTCCACATCCCATGTGGGTTTCCACAGACATCCCTGCTCGGTGGTCTGCCAGGGTCTGGAC